TCATCAAGAAGGATGTTACTGATGCAACTAAAAGCTTCTTCCAGGGCAATAATCTTCCACGGTATTTTAGTGAATCTAGCTTTGTACTGATTCCCAAGGCTGATGTTCAGAATAAATGGGACCATTTCAGACATATTTGTCTCACTACTGTCATTAGTAAAGCCATCAGCAAAATTATTGTCAAAAGGCTGGAGCGACATCTGGATAGACTTATTTGCCCAAATCAATCTACCTTTGTTAAAGGGAGATCAATATCTGTCAATGTCCTTCTTGCTCAGGAATTGGTTCTGGATTTGGATAAACCTTGTAGACCGGATTTGGATAAACCTTGTAGGGGGTAATCTGATTTACAAACTTGATATCAAAAAAACTTATGACTCTATCAGTTGGTCCTTTATCATGGAGATTTTTTCTGCCAGAGGCTTTTCTGCTAATTTTTGCTCCCTTATACACAGGTGGCTTGCTAACAACCATCACTCTATTCTTATTAATGGGCAGCTTAGGGGGTCCTTTACTATAACCAGAGGTCTAAAACAAGGGAATCCACTCTCATCTACAATTTTCATCTTGGCTATTGAATATCTTTCCAGAATCCTCAATCAAAGCAACCTCATTGATAATTACTCTAAATATCATCATAGCTCAAATTTGGTTATCTCCCACTTACTCTATGCAGATGACATCATGGTTTTCTCAAGCTTTCACAAGAATGTTGTCAAGAAGGTCACCAAGTGTCTTCAAGCTTTTCAGGATAATTTAGGTATGTGTTTTAATTAAGATAAATGTCAACTGATCTTTCACAAAAGAGTTTATCCCAACTGCAGATAGTGGATAACTGAGTACACTGGATTCACTTGAACCCACCTTCCGATCAAATACTTGGGGGTCCCTCTTATTATGGGCAGAGCTAAGTAGATTCAATTTGAGGAGGTCCAAAACAAAATTACTTCATATCTCTCATGTTGGACCAATTCCTTCTTATATAATGGGGGTAGAATCACCCTAGTTAAGATCATCCTCACTACTATCCCCTCTTATATTCTTCAAATGATCAACCTTAAGAAAAGCACTAAGTTGCAACTTGAGAGGGCTTTCAACAGATTCCTTTGTTCTGAACAAAGACAGCTGCTCCATTGGGCATCTTGACAGAAAGTAGCTAAACCTTCTATGGCTGTGGGTATTGGCTTTAAAGGACTTCAAAAAATTTTTCATGTTAACCTATGCAAAATCTAGATTAAGTTTAGAGAGCAATCCTCCTTATGGGAAAAATATATGCTGGGTAAGTATTGTAAAGATCAGCACCCCTCCCTTACCTTTAGGAAAACAGGAGACTCCAAATTATGGGTTAGCATGCTCAAGGTTAGAGACCAAGCTGAAAAACTATTTATCTGGGATCTGGGAAAATCTGATGTTAACTTTTGGCTGGACCATTGGTGACCAGAGGATTGGCTTACTTTTGTTACAAGCTCTCCTAATATTAATATTCAAGTTGTTGGTTGCTGTGAGGATGACCATTGGTCTCTCACTAAACTAAGCTCAATTTTGCAAGAACCATCCATCTCTCATATCTCCAATATACCTTTTGATAGAGGCAGGCCTGATAAAATCTTATGGAAAACTCATGCTCATCAAAGCCTCACCAAAGTTATCTACTCCAGCCTTTTTATCCCAATTTTGATATGTAAGGATTTATGAAGTTGACACCACTACAGCGCCAAAAACTTGATCCTTATATGAAAAGTAAGTTGTGTAAAATATATATAATTATAGGTAATTAATAATGAGATTCTATGCAAGTATACGTATCGTTATCAAGTAATAATGGACTTTCTATTTAAGCCCCAAAT